CAGATGGTTGGTTTTAATTATGTCTGAATGCGTGAAGAGAGTGCAATGTCTGTTTACAGCTACCTGTCACTAGATGCTAAATATCTCACATATACAATAATTTCATGCGTTACAGACAGCTCGGAAACTCGTCTCACATTCATTTCGACCAAATTTGTTTTGAAGCCGAAATTCGCACATTTTTGCTAAATACTTTGGATAAGTTTTCGAGATGTCGTGGAATATCTCCTTCAAATTAGGATTTCTTCCCGAGGAGCACTGAACTATGGGTACCTTGAATCATACACTTCACTGAGTCAACCCGACATTCACTAATAAAATTATGCCAGATAACCTATCTTGTCTATTACAACTGGAACGGTTGTCAGGTTGCATCAATCCAAATGTCATAGTTATTACCCACAAAAGTGTTTCTGGTCATTTCATTCTTTAAGTGCCTTGTTACTTTGAATGGTAAACTATATATCCCAGAATGCATCAGTGTAATTGAATCGGACAGAGGTCATAGTGTGCCGTCACATCCACTCATGCCTTCTGTTAACTATCGTTTCAGAGTCAACGAACTTTATAATCTCATTATAATAATCCGAAAACTGACAATTCAGGGGCACTTACGTATCATTAGTATCAATACAATTGGTGAATATTTTATGATACATTTAATGTGTATATCAGTATACAGTAAACAATTCCCATACGAAAATAAGCTTCAAGTTACCCATAGTTTATTCATTTCTATTTATAGGACAACGTGCCAGTAATGTAAAAATGTTCAATTTGGGTATTGTAATACAAATCAAATTGAAGCTGAATTTCACCTTTCGCCTTTTTTGTTACCCAGATTGCTATGGCAACCTCTAAAATATTGTAGGACGTGGTCCACCACGTGATACAGATGAAATAAGACAGTATGCAGCCGATAACACAAATTTCCACGTCACCTTAATTATTTCTAGGGGGCTTTTCAGTGATTTGTTGAATCAAAAGGAGCTGTATTGCCTTACCACAGCAACAGTTTAATTATTCAATTCCACGACAGTTATAAATACGTCTGCCGCTATTTTAGTTTGAGATGTAGCTTTGAGTTTATTTTTTGCGATCCTGTATGGCCTGCATGGTAACAGTCAAGTATAACTGACTCTTCGGTTCACCTTGATTTTAACCTCTATACCATTGCATGCAATGCATCCAGTACTCGAATAGACCATTTTCCGTTTACTGCGAGAATCACGCGTTATGCGTGAAATCGAACGTAAAAACAGGACAAGCAAAGGTCATAGCGTCGTAGTGGCGTCAAACATCGCGGGGGATTCAACAAACGCGAAAGTATTTTGGGGACATTTCCAAGCTTAATAATGTGCTGTCCACATTTGATGATAGACAATTTCGATTAAGTGAGGGTATTCGGAAGCAATATTCCTCTGTCGAAGATCGGCCGGTTGATGTGAGCTACGAAATAAAGAAATTCGAGTTGAAAATCAAATCGTTCGATTTTTGCAGCAGACGTTCGACGCGCGTCTTTCATGCATCTCGCGAGATCTCGCAATTGTACGGAAAATCACCTATTAAAGTTCACTATCACGGTCAGCCTACCTATGACAAGTCTTTAAAAGAGTTTGTTTGAAAATCAGTGTCAAGTTGAAATGAAACTTTGAACAAAAGCTCGAATAAACAAACAATAGAAGTATGAAAATATATGCTTATTTAATAAAAATCAATCTAAAACTGTGCTGGGGTCAGTCTGCCGGATGTCTCCTGTGTTCGTGATCTACAATGACGTATGCATCGTGACAGGAACATACTCTGTTGGTGTTTGGTTGTAAATTGTCACGTACGTCATCGGAAAGATTCATACAAATGTCAAATTTGAGCAAAAGTTGATGTTTTCAATGTACTAGGCGAAACCTTATAAATCTACAAAAAGGTGCTTCAATCGAACATTGAGAACTATACATCTATAACTTGGATCCAGCTATCACATGAAACCGTTATCTCGTTTGAACAACTTCAAACATGAATATTAATATGAATATTTGTACAACTTTAAACATGAATATAAACATGCGCTTCGGATCATATCTTAGTATCACGTGATGCGAGTGTCTGGTAGACATCACTACTGGTACAGCTAATCGTGCAGGGATTTGCAACGATCATCACCATGGAAACGCTACCAAAGAAACATGCCGTTAGCGTTGTCAGTGTCTTTGTTTTGGATTATAGCAGGTTATTGGTGCAAATAATACTTATTTATATCTAGTTCTGGTATCTGGTAGTAGACAGCATACATTAGGCATATTGACTGGAACACATTTGCCCACACACGGAATCAACATCAGAAAATACATACAAACAAAGGCTTGTATGACTAAACCAGTAGAAACAGATATATGGACCTCAAGGCATTCAGCCAGGAAGTGATGTCAGGTGTTTTGAAAACCGAGTGAGCTTATTCTGCTCCACATGTGGCATCGGCGATCTATCACGATCTATGTAACTGTTGTGAATTGGTAATTGGTTTAGACATGCTATGCATCACATAAGTAACATAGTTGCCTTGCGAGATTATTTGACAACTTAATTTCGTTATTTTATACACTAGGTTATGTTAAAGCAACACAAGTATTTAAGATAAGACTCATTGTGACACGACAGCTCAAGTTCAAGTATGCCGCAAATTGTTCTATCTGTGTCTAGATGAACAGTGGACTTTACATCGAATGCCTATTGGATTTGGCTATTTTTTGCTCCGCTGAATTGTCCAATGTTTAAATACTAGTATTTCCCAAGCAAGCTGATGTAAAAGATAATTATAGGCTATGAGCAAAACTAGAAACGGCTCGTTTATTTCTACGACTTGGATGTCATTTGAATCCGGTACCAGCATCAAAAACTCAGATTTTTCCCTCAAATGTTTTCTACTCATTTCTGGGAGGCGGGGATAAATATAATTTACCAAGCCAGAATTGAGAAAACATTTTAGAAGAACAAACCGACCATAAGATACAGAGATTTTGTTAACGTGTCCGCCCATTATCAGGGAGATCGTGGGTTCGACTCTTATGGTCAGCCTCACACTCATCAGTTTTGACAGAAAATGATAGTAATATGCGTTGCCAATCCTATAAAATACTGGCTAAATACATTAATAAATCGGTGTAGTTATGTAAAAACCGAGCCAGGTGCGAACTAACCCAGACACATGTCCAGTCAACTCAGAAGCACATAAGTAGTGCATCCGAATTTGGTCACGTTAAATCTGTTTTTCAAAAAATATAATAATAAAAATGCACATTATATATAGTTGAACGCACCGGAAGTTGTTTTACATACGTCTGAAATGACGAATAAAGAAATGAATCTGCCAGTAAGGGAGTACAATACTATTTATATAATACCTAATACTAGTAACGAAGGTGCCAGTATTTAATAGGATGTTCAATCTAGATCAAGAAAAATAAATGTTATAATTACGGGCATACGGTGACCACGGACTGACGTTCCTGCACCATTACACATATGCTAATTACACCTTCCATATTTATGCTTAGGTTTCATCCATATAATATATGTTGGAAAATGCATCTTATTATGAAGTCAACATGTTCGTGATGTCGCATTCAGATTACAACCCACGAACATCAAAGAAGATCCAATAATATTTAAATAACCGCCGCTACTTTAGTGTGTGTATTATACTGAAGGTCCCTGAGGTCATTGAGTGTTTTGAATCAGTGAGATGCGTAATCAAACGTTAATGCTGTATACGAAGCCGTATATCATCAGATGACATACAATATGTAAGCTACTAATGTATTGAGAGTAAGATAACATCTAGACAATATAGGCCTGGGTAACCATATAAATCACTGTAATGTCTATATCCCGTGTACCACGTGTTGTGTGATTTGTAATAGAGAACGAGGTCAGTATGTTGAACTTCACAGATGACATACAATATGTAAGCTACTAATGTATTGAGAGTAAGATAACATCTAGACAATATAGGCCTGGGTAACCATATAAATCACTGTAATGTCTATATCCCGTGTACCACGTGTTGTATGATTTGTAATAGAGAACGAGGTCAGTATGTTGAACTTCACAGATGACATACAATATGTAAGCTACTAATGTATTGAGAGTAAGATAACATCTAGACAATATAGGCCTGGGTAACCATATAAATCACTGTAATGTCTATATCCCGTGTACCACGTGTTGTATGATTTGTAATAGAGAACGAGGTCAGTATGTTGAACTTCACAGATGCAATAGAAGACATATATTTTATTCAGTAATACTACCCTTCTAAAAACATTTGGTACTTGAATATGTGTGTATTGTTCTTGTATAATTTAAAATATGAATCAGCGAGACTGTGAATAGAAATCAGTGTTTATAAAGCTGCCATTTTGCAATAAAGTATGTTTTTATTGCTGTAATATTACATTTCACTGATACTAAATGGTTTCGCCGTAATGTCGATGTGTATTGCAACATGTTTACTAATATAGTATTGCATTGCAAGACAGTGATTTGCAGACACATGTCAGGCCACTCGGTGGCAAGAAAACACTAGTTTTCTTTCGGTAGCGTGTCTTCCAGTTTGTTTATTATCGTAACTGTGGCATCACTGTTGTAATATTCATAGTCACATATATCTAATTTGAGGTATAGTGACTTAAAAATTATAACTTATTTGGGAGATGTTATGGTTAAATGGGACTTGACTGATCTTAATCGTGTTAGGCCCATTAAGCCCCACATTGACCTTTATCAGCCAGACGCATGGAAATAAATAAATAAATAATTGGTGAAATAAAGGAACAACTTGAACAAACTCGAAGAACAAGAATAAATAAATAAACTGGAAACGAAGGTGGAGGGAGGAGGGAATGAAGAAGCCCTACGCAATCGAAGACAATATTGTGATATGGTGCACATGTCCCGTTGTGCGCTGCCTGCCTGCACATTGTGGTCAAACTATTTACAGTACTGTTTTACGACGTCGATAATATCTCTTTTGAACGTTTTAGTTTGGCTAGTATTTTTCTTGCGAATTTATGTCCTTCGTTAGCTGTCATATCAGTGTTTGCATTCTGATGATCTCTCGTGTCTTCCAGTTCGGCCAGGGCAGGCCGGTACTGGTGTCGATATTCCGGCGGGGTTCCCACTGCCACTATGTTGTCTGCGCTACGTTTATTGAATGTTTCTGTTGTTGTTAGCACCCATTCACTGGTCATTCTTTCTCTACCCTTGGCATCTGATGACGTGTTAACCCCATGTGCTTCCAGCAGTACGCTTAGTTCGTCCATTGATTTGCTGTACCTCCTGAATGTCTCACTATGCAGCAACGGTTCATTTTCTCTTTTTATCCAATCATCGCCTAGATACTTGTAAATTTCTCTAATTGCGCACCGTTTATCTGGTCTGATGTCCAATATTTTCCTGAAACATTTCATCAGACGAGGGGTGAACCGTCTCCACTGCGTTGGTATAGCAGGGGTTTTACGCCGTTGCCAATGGATAAATTCCAGGAAGTACGCATCTGCCGTGTTCGCGGCTTCCCATGGGAAATTCCCTGTAAGTATAGAGAACAATAAGACGCCAAATGCCCAGACATCTTGACTAGATTCAACGTAGAATCCTTCATTTTTTACGGCTTGGCATATTTCCGGCGGTGTGTAAGGTATGCTGCCACTGATCTTTCTAACGTGAGTCCCACTCCGACGTGTCATCCCGAAGTCCATAAGTTTTACAATGGAACAATCTGGACTGAAAAGTAGAACGTTTTCTGGCTTGATATCACGGTGTACGAACCCCTTAGTGTGTATAAAGTCTATTGCCGATGCGATTTGTTGCATGCATTGCTTAGCGACGCTTTCTGATAGTCCGTGCTGAGGTGGGATGGCTTCGAATAAGTCACCGTAGGCGGTGTACTCCTGGGCGAACACATAAGCTGTGGGCGTTTCAAACGCTACGTCGTAGCTATTAATAACATTCGGATGCACTGACAGAAAGTCACCCAATGTGCATTCCCGTTGGAAGTCTTTGAACTTGGTGGATTTCTTACAGAGTGATTTCAATGCCAGCTGTAGCCCACTCTCCCTGTGTACAGCCAGGTCAACTCTGCCATACGTACCGCGACCGAGTTCTCTTACGATGTCGTAGTAATCCTCCAGACTAACGAGATTGAGAAGTTTGTCATTATTGCTAAGTTTGTGCGGTGATTGCAACATGGTGGGAGAATTAATATAACAGTTGTCACCGGCTCCAGTGGTCGTATTATTCTCGCCTTACACACACTGCTTGAACCGTGACCTGAAGAAAAAAAATACATTACGTTAGAATTGATGGGAAATTTCCCAGCAAGCATTGCTAAATAATTTGATTGAATCTTATCGAATGTAACCGGGGTATTCACAGTTAATAACTTATCACATTCACAGCTGCGTACAATCATGAAGCGATCTATCTGGTCTAATCAACTAATTTCTATATACATTTCAACATTTCGAGGTAATTGTTGTTGAAAATGAGAAGCAAGTATTGTAAATCGAGATTATGTGCGACTATGATAATACAATACGTGCAGATAGTCGTCAGAATATAATTAATTTATGCGGTTGTTAACAAAACCTACATGAATATATATATAGTCGCCGAACTTTTTTCGCAAAAAACATGAATCGAGCCTTTATGAAATTGTCATATGTTCCTATTACAAATAACTCTCACTAAATCTCAAACTTAAAGGGCGGTAGTCGTCGCGCCACGCATGCGCGAGACATATGGGTCTCATATAAACAAAGATGACGACTTTGACTGTTGCGCATATCAACGAATACAAACTGAAACGTTACGAAGCTTTAATAAAGTATTTTTTTAGGTGGTTGGAAGGTATCAAAGGAGTCACCGGCGGTAATTAGTGCAAGTCGCGCCCAGGTAAAACCTCATACTTGTGATTACCATAAGGAGAGCGTATTGGATTGTGGGAAAATCAATGTTTATCAACACAAATGTCGCACATCACAGTGCGCAGAGCGACGACTGCCGCGCTTTAATGTGTGACATGTGGTGAAAAAATCATAATGCTGTAGACGTGGGTAGTTATGGTGGTCACGAATTATCAGTAAATATGTATTTTCATAAAATAATACGTTACATAAATTTCTTTGGAAATAGCTAAACAAACATTTTTGTATTTTGTCGGATAATCTCCAAAAATAATTCCGCACTGGGTTTGATTATTTCAAATCAATAATTATAAAACATTTTGACCTCCCCAACAAAATTGTTACATTTTTCACAGAGTTCACGACTCAGTAAATACGTAGTCAAATGAGTATATATATGTTTCTTTTCAAGGAAGAATTATCTCCCAGGTGACCCTATATGTGGGTATATTAACTGCAAGTACAAAACGATCTCCGTCAGAACAAAGACGCTTGGGAGCTACTCCAAGGACGCGGAGTGACAGGGAAGAGAAAGCGATGGAGGAAAAGTAACATAATTTGAATTGCAAATAACTTTTAATATTGGCAACATGAGTCATTTTAAATTTAATTGCTGGCTTGCCATCACGCAGCTGTCTCCTAGGTACTTGACACATCGTCGCTGACCCGCCTTAAGTGATGTTGATCGTGAATATTTTTAAAATGATTTTGTTAACCTCTAAAATCACCAGTCGCCAACATTCTGTGGGTTGTTCATCAATAAAGCGAATAAGTTGATAATTTGAAGAAGTTGATGACAATCAGCTATATCATTATCCAAAATTCGAATTTGTCAAAGATTGCAATATACATGTTTGGTCACGTGACATTTACATATATTTCGAAATAAAAACTTAGCTATCATAATGATTGTATAATTCGTATTATTTACTGTACGCAGTGTTTACAAAAGTCAACCCTATTTTATATAAACGTCGACAGATTGTACACTGATTATGAAAATTTGCCATTCTCCTCACTTGTGTTTACAGTTCGTCAGGCAAGTTCATCTTAAGTAGCTCTCAGAGGTTTGGTTGGTTTCCTGTGAGACTATCACGACCTAGACTAGAACGTAGGGGAAGTGTTTTTTGTCTTGTAACAATGACACATACATTTTTTTTTCCATATAACCAAGTGTACTCAAGCATTTAATACTTCTGTCAACATTATCACGCCCGTCATCACTATCTGAGAACACGTCATCATTGTCTGAGAACATATCGTCACTGTCTGAGAACACGTCATCATTATCTGAGAACACGTCGGCACTATCTGAGAACTAAATAATATGTAAAAACTCCCGGATGTTTTTCAATGTAGACTACCTACATAGTGTGAACATTTCAATATAAAATAAACAGGTATGTGTACCTTTAATTTTTAATCTTCTAAATTGTATACGTGACAGAGCTTATATTTTGTTTGATGTACAGCAAAAAAAACACATGTTTTCGTGGGATGTCACGTACCTACGTCTATGCCTTAGGCCAGGTCATCTTGAATTTTCAAGGTGAATGTTCCGCCGAAGTGTTGTAGAGGGAGGAATGCCCGAACGAACAAAACCGTGCAGGCGGACGATGAGCCAGGTTGGCCGGATTGTTTTCTCTAATTTGATAGAAATAATGAAGTTTATGCAAGAAAACTTTGTTTTTTTTATTATAATTTATTGGAGTGAATTATCCTGCCACATTGACATGCGTAATGCCACGTCATGTTTTTTATGACGTAATGACATATAGTTGTTATGAAACATACCATATTATGGTTGTTATGACTTGATGATATATGGGTGTTCGCATGTAATAACATGGTTGTTATGACGTCATGACATATGGCTGTCATTAAAACAATGCCATATGACTGTCATGACGTAATGACATATGGCTGTCATAATATATGGTTGTTACGACGTAGTGGCATTGCTGTTATGAAGTACTGGCATATGGCTTTTATGACGTATGAAATATGGTTGCTACGAAAAAATGTCATGTGGCTGTTATGACGTATGACATGTGGTTGCTACGATGTAAAGTCATGTGGCTGTTATGACGTATGACATATGGTAGTTACGAGGTTATATAACATGGTTATTATGACGTTAAAAATATGAGTGTTATGTTTAATATCATCGATCACGGAATAAGTTTGATTTCGAAAAAACAGTCGTATTGGCTGAAAATTGAAATGATAGTCATCACAAAATGTTGGTTGCTTGTTGACTCCTCTGCTATAGCCGTATAACTCTATAGTTTTTATAATAGGCAAATATACCATTCAATTTTATAACAATCATTTATTTGTAGTCGTGGTATATTAATTGATTGTTCTCAGTTGACGTGCTATTATAAATTAACACCTGCGATTGAAGTGAAGAGATAAGTAAACCAGATGCAAATGATGGAGATGCGCTGACAGGTCAAATTAGGACAATGACGTCAACGCATGTACGATGAGTACTAATGTCTGGCTATTAACTACGATCTGAAGTTGTTGTTTTAAACATAAGTTATGTTAAATGTAAATTCCTATCTTGGGTCAAAACGTATCTGTAATATATGCAGCTCGAGGTCTCCTCGAACACAAAAATGAGGACATCGGAAATTAAATCGCGTATATTCCAGCCTATTAACTCGGTGGAGAAAGGAAAAACGAATCCGTATCCATGTGGAAATTGAATAGTGTATATTTGTTACAAAGTTCTTGATATACATATAGTGACTTGCGGGGAAGACATTTAAAATGTAGTACATATTAACTGCTGCGAAAATTCAGAACTGCATTTGTGTTTATATGTTAATGAAATGTTGAATAGTAGTCTACGTTAGATGTTAGTTATATTATTGGAATGTACAAAATATGCAAGTCCGTTGTCAGTAGTCGTGACGCTGAAATTATACAATGAGTTAAAGGGTATTCAAAAAAAATCAGATACGAGTTAAGGGGTATTCACAAACCACGTATGGTTTTAATATATGTAAAGCACGTTTCAACGTGTTCATACGGACAAGTGAAATAAATGTATTCGAAACAATAAATTATTCGTTAATATTGTATAGTCAGTGATTGGATAACAAACAACATACGCTGTGAAATGATTGGTTTATATAAAGTGTTGCGATTGGTTCATATAATGTAAGTATTCTAATGTATTGGTTCATGTGCTGTGATTGGTTCATATACTGTGAGTATTCTAATGTGATTGGTTTATATACTGTGCTGTGATTGGTTCATATACTATAACTATTCTAATGCGATTGGTTCATGTGCTGGGATTGATTCATATACTGTAAGTATTCTAAGGCGATTGGTTCATATAATGTGATGTGATTGGTTTATATACTATAAGTATTCTAATGAGATTGGTTTATATGCTGTGCTGTAATTGGGTCATATACTGTAAGTATTCTTATGCGATTGGTTCATATACTGTGATGTGATTGGTTCATATACTGTAAGTATTCTAATGCGATTGGTTCATATCTACTGTGATTGGTTCACATAATGTGAGTATTCTAATGTGATTGGTTCATATAATGTGATGTGATTGGTTCATATACTGTAAATATTCTAATGCGATTGGTTCATATAATGTGATGTCATTGGTTCATATAATGTAAGTATTCTAATGCGATTGGTTCATATACTGTGCTGTGATTGGTTCATATAATGTGATGTGATTAGTTCATATAATGTAAGTATTCTAATGCAATTGGTTCATATAATGTGATGTGATTGGTTCATATAATGTGAGTATTCTAATGTGATTGGTTCATATAATGTGATGTGGTTGGTTCATATACTGTAAATATTCTAATGTGATTGGTTCATATAATGTCATGTGATTGGTATATATAATGTAAGTATTCTAATGTGATTGGTTCATATAATGTGATGTGATTGGTTCATATAATGTGAGTATTCTAATGTGATTGGTTCCTATACTTTTCTTTGATTGGTTCATATAATGTGAGTATTCTAATGTGATTGGTTCATATAATTTGATGTGATTGGTTCATATACTGTAAATACTTTAATGTAGTTGGTTTATTAATGTAAATATTGCATATAACACACTTTGATATAACAGCTTCCTGTCCAGTGCGTTGAACTCTGATGGCCAATACAATTGCGAAATACATACATACATCACGCCCGCCAATTGAAAGATCTGGTCTATTGTATGGAGTACCGAGCAACAACCTATAGCGCTATTGTTACATTACATTGAATTATTTGCTTAGCTTAATATAATATTTACCGTAAGAGCCACGCTTGATAACAATACAAAAATAGTTGAAAAAAAAGTAAACTGAATGCATTTAATTAAAAAAATATATACGTTTAAATAATCATTGATTCGACTCAATCGTTTATTTATGTCATTCATAAATGCTTATATATTATTAAAGTACGCGAATTCAAAGAATGTTAAACTGCAATAGAATTACATATTCGGCACTACAACACAGTGTACTTATGTAATGTATGGTATAGTATGGTTACTGCTATGACAACTAATTTACATATCTACTTTCCAATCCTTGTGTGATCACAGTGCTCCGCATGATATGTTGGGAAACTTTAACAGCGTGACAAATAATTCAATGGAAAACAGCTATTACAGGAAAGTAAATTTCCTACTCAGTGTGGGGGCAGATATGACCCATACTGTCCAATTAACCGGTGGAAGGTCATAGGCCAAGGTCAGGGGGCCAACAAGGCATTACAAATCCCTTTCTACCAATCAGGCATACACGCTGTTACGGATACGTAATTCAGCGTAATTTAAGTCGTTACAATGTTTGCAGATACCACATATAGTGTCCTAAACGAGAGACAATTCCGAATCGCCTTTGTGTAAATGCCAACCCTCATATATTATTATGTCGAAACCATTTATGTTGCTGCATTAGTCGCGGTATAAATAATAAATACGGACGTAATGAAAAATGCAATGTAAATGTTTACCTACCACATCACGTCTCAGTGCTTATAGAATGGTGCGTGGAACAGCATTCACTTCCCTCCATCCTCATATATCACCGTGTAATCCGCGTCTAGTGTATAGTGTTGCATTCATAGACACCCTCTACGATATTTGATATTATTTAAATCAGCCTCGGTAGATTCGACGCATGTGTGGTGAATCGGACGGGCTGGCACGTCTGGTGTGCGATTTAGTCCGATGATATATATTAATAATGAATAGGAAGGGCATCGTCAATGACGTCATTCATTTTGCTTCATCGGGGACGCATCAATGCCTGCAAAGCCAATTAGATCATAATTTATCACATTATTTCAACAAATTTCGAGGACGGGAAAGGGGACGTGTCATCGACATTGCTACATTTCAGTGCGCCTATTGTGTATATGTTTTTTTTTCAATATGTCGATATTTGTATTTTCTACTGTATAGCATGACGTAAGCGATGTTGGTATCCTTGCCGGATATAAAGATATTGTTACCGCGTGTAGGACACACTGGCACAGCCGGAGAGCAGGAAAGTAGGCGCAGGCGAGCGTAAAACGTTTTCTAGCTGTTTTCAATGTGATCAAAGAACGTATTTAAATGTCAAATTTGTACGTTTATAAACAAGAATTGACAGCTATGGGTGGTAAAATTGTTTAGTAACAATATATTGAAATTTATTTGCAAATGCTATCGTAAAATACTCACTAAATGGTGTAATCTACCAGCCGTATTTATCTTAGTAGACCCATACAAACTATATTGAGGTTTCTGGTCATCGAAGAATCGTGTCAATTACATTTGTTCGCGGCAACGCTTTTTTTCAGGATTTTATCAGAATTTTCAGAAAGAAAATAAGTATAACATTTTCATAAAAAAATAAAAATGGATAAATTGTATAACAAATTTTAGAAAAAAAACACAGAAAACTTTTCTTGGCTTTATATATTACAATGTTCGAATCAATTAAAATCGCAAATCCGTCGTCTTAAGTCGATAATTATAAAAACAATATTTGTTATTCAGAAATATTCTACTATAATGCTGTTTTTATTTATACCCTTCATAGAAGCCACATATAAACATTGTTGTAAGGTATATTTTTTAGCAGTTTCGTGAATTCATTTTGCTTTTAGGAATTCAAACGCGTCTTTGATTTTTCTTCTTACCAACGTACTGAGAAAACGTTTCTTTTCTTCAAGTTCTTTTCAGATTCTTTGTATCGTGCCCGCCGACGGGCATGATGGTATCACTGTGTTTGTAACTATCGGACAATATCAAATTGAAACGACACAATAATGTCTACAATCACACGGCCACGTGTCGCGTACGTACGTGGTGTTCTTATCGAAAAGTTTGAAAAATGGAAGTGGGTATCCATTTATTATTTGTTCGCCTGCCAATTTAAAATAAATGATATTTCAAACCTCTTTTTGAAAATTACCAGCTCAATTGCGTTAATACTTGGTAAGTAGGTACCGTGGATAGACCTTTATCAGATTTGTTTATTTCGTGACGAATTCTTCAGTTTTCTATTTTTAGCAAATATTTTTGTAATGTTTGGTAAAAGATGTTATTTTCGACTTTTTCGGTCAATAATTTATTCTCCGAGTTATTAGAACCATATATTAACCTATATTAACTATTTGTCTGTTGTTTCACACTAAGTAACAACATCTTGCCGAAGTTCACAGTGACACACCTGTATTTTACAATGTATTTTATACACGTTGTATACGTCGCTATGAGTCCCATATCGAACAGGACGCGGCGCGACGACCACCATCACGCGGCGTTAGAGTTCATGGCGCAGTTTATTCAGGCTTACACTGCCCAAAAAACAAAAAATAAACAAAAACACGCTCATATCAGTATGACGTATTTCAGTTGTACTAATGACTTTATAATGAATCACATATAAAATATATTTAAATTTAAATTTGATTGCAAGTATTCTGAATCGTATTGTCTACTGTCTTATAAACAAAATTAACATCAATCTATTGTGCGAGCGGTTAGTCTTATCTTCATCGCGATCTAGCCTCAATAATGAAATATGTGATTTAAAAAAAATGTGTGCTAGGAAAGGCAATTAAGGCTGTTATATTTTAAGGGATTGTAGATTCCTTGGTTATTATTATAAAGATTCATGTTACCATGATTGATAAGAATTGTGTGCGATGCGAAGTAGATTTTGTTTGACAGAGCGTGCTCGTTCCTCATGTGGGCAACTGATTTGGAAATCTCGCCTTTCCGTATTTTCTCTCATGTTATTCGATGATTGCTTCAGCTACGGGGCTTAAAATCGAATGTCAATATTTTTCACAGACCGGATTACATATGCCGGGGGATATATTCAAATGACAGTCTCAATCTGACGGGTTTCAAGAAATTAAAGTGGTATGTGAGGGGCATATATAACGATCGAAATGTTGTTGTTTTGAATTATTATTACTTCACGGGGCAAGGATTGTTCACAATATTTCAGCGAGGGTTGTCACGACTGAAACGAGGCCGTGCGGGATTGGCTATCCTTTAAATTATCCTGCTAATAGGATAGCTGGGTTAATGAAATATGTACTGAGAATAACTTCTCTAACGGCATACACGAACTATCGTCCCCATCTGAGAGAGAATGTTATCAGTGTGAAATTACATAGATCGGGTGTGAACACACTGTATACGTGATTTATACTACGGAGTAATCGCCTTGTTGACATCGTCTGAATCTCAGCTCTCCGCCTCCATTCGAACATGTACTGCTTTACTTTCACAAAAATGACTTGTACAACTCTATGTTGATTTTTATAACGCGATTTTTTTGTTCATCTTCGGAAAATCCAGCTCGCGTTACGAGAGTGAAGTACTGACACTGCGTCTAAAACGATCACTACTTCTCGTGCGGTTTATACACTAAAATCTCAGTCTGGCAAACGATGACTCAATTTATATTCATCTCATCTCTGTCAGTTCTCGTTTCGTTCAAATGTCGGTTACTAAAAGTAGTCGTGACAGCTTATAAAAGCAGTATAGGCAGGTAATTGTATGTGATACAGTACGAAAATCGTAATTATAGTCTGGCACACATCTTACATGAAACACTTTGCGTACTGATATTTGTCCAGCCAAATAACCGTCTAGTGCGCATGTACTTGTACCTAAGAGCAATTTCACTACACTGTATAAGCTAATGTTACGATTGTTACGTACATCCACTATTGATAGTGTAGGTATTAAATGACATATATTGATGGTCATGATGACAAAATCGTGTAATTCCATTATACGCACTGTTGCTAGACACGGAATTTTGTATGTTTTATGTGGTTTGTATAAACAATTCTATATACGAGTGACTTTTTGCAGTCTAGGAAATGGCGCGAATTGGAACACAGCCTCGCGACATTTACGTGGTATCACGCTGTTGTGTCGTCACATGACGCGCCGTATAAATGGCGCATATTGCAGCGTCAATAGATGTCACTCACGAAAACAAGCGTTATTTTCTTACCTATACCAAAAGAGACTTGAGAAAATGCTAAAAAGCATAAATACCAGGGGCGGATCTAGGATTCTGGAATAGGGGGGGCGGCGATAAGTTGGCCTATAAAGGCCAAGTTCGCGAGCGCCGATGGCGCGAAGCCCTGTTTGTTGTTAAAAATAGGGGGCGGCCCCCTCGGCCCCCATCTAAATCCGCCAATGAATACGGTGACAAAAGCGTAAATTGGAAGCATTATATGCTAGAATCTACATATGTCACATGACATGAAATCGTCATTTGAATGTTAGTCGATGATTCAAGATGGCTGACCATGTAATATGTAAATTTGTTATATGTATCATTCATACTCCAGCTGAGAGTCAGTCAATATTCTGATTAGAGAAAGGGGAAGACTGTTAACCATATGTATTTTCATTTTCTCTATTCGCCCATTTTTAATCTTCGATAACCACCGGCAAAGTTTGAATTGTCGTCATCTGTAATATTAAAGTCGTTGTGCAGCGTGGGATTGAACTCGTATAAACGAACAACATATTTTACACATGTTGTATGTGGCACTTTAATTTTATGTTACAGACTTTCTGATGTTTTCCCTACTTAGAACCAGACTATTATGATTATGGAAGCAATTTCGCTTGTGATTTTGAATAATTTATCAATTGTAATTATATTACTTACATTGGACGTGTTTTGAAAATATAATTATTGATATAGAGTAATGAGATTGGTATTCAATTTAATATTTTTATAGTTCATAATTTCGATAGGCGGTATAAATGCAGGTTGGAAGACGGACGTGACTTGAGTGCAAAATTAATGATGACTTGAATTCCAAATTACATAACCGATAGTAGGCGGGAAAATCTAGTCGGCCGACAGTTTTAAAAAGAAGGCCGACTGAACGCAGAAAAGGAAGCATGTTCCATTCCCCTGACAACCGTCAACCGATATTCCTATCTACTAGACCGATTGTAATCAGCCGCGATTACTTTCGACAACATATTATTTTCCGCCAAAGATTTGTTTATTTCCTTTTTCCCATTTTCTATCATTTCCTTATTAATTTTGGACCAAATGGGGGCAACTTTTCATTTTCTACAGTTCTTGGTCAAATATTGTAAAAGAAATACGTAAAACAATTTAGGAATTATTTTTTGGCGAAAAGCGACAAACGTCGACTTTGGTGATCAGTGTTTACCTTTAGTACATGGAATATCTTCACCATAATATACCTTATGTATGACCTCTGAAGGTCACACATCCCGGCACTTTATTCTATTCTATTCTATTCTATTCTATTCTATTCTATTCTATTCTATTCTATTCTATTCTATTCTATTCTATTCTATTCTATTCTATTCTATTCTATTCTATTCTATTCTATTCACTATTTTTGTAAAACATTCCAATAACTTAATTAATTTTGTAAAACACCCTACATCTCAACGACCAGAAGTGCAGAATACATAAACAACTATAGTCGTTCAAACGTCGAGAGCGATCTGCCAGTGAGTCACATTAGTACGGTTCCACTATTATTATGGGAAGG